AGAGGGCTCCTCCAGGTGTAGCACGCTCAGTCTCAGTACCCCCAGACTCCACACCCCCAGGCTCAGCACCTCCAGGCTCCACACCTCCAGGGTCCGCACCTCCAGGCTCAACACCCCCAGGCTCCGCACCTCCAGGCTCAACACCCCCAGGCTCAGCACCCCCAGACTCAGCACCCCCAGGCTCAGCACCCCTAGACGCAGGACGAGAGTCAACAGCTACCTCGACAGGCTCACCCGGGTCTACCTGGGACACACCTGAGGGAGCGGCACCCTGAGGGGGGAGGGGGTCTGGTACCTCAGCACCTGGAGCGAGGAAGAGAGGCGGGGGGGGGAGCGGGGCAGTGCGGTAGGGGAAGAGGCGGTAGTAGGGGACGGACTCGTCAAAAGTGACGTCCTGAGAGGCCAGGACACGCCGCGAGGTGGGGTGGTAGAACTGCCAACCAGGGGCGTCCGGGACAAAGCCAAGGAAGACGCAGGGGACAGCGCGACGGGAGAGCTTGTCCGCGGACGTGTCGCGGACAAAAGCTCGGGATCCCCAGACCCGAAAACGCGACGCATCGCCAGCCTCTCCCGTCCAACGCAGTGTCGGAGAAGTCTCGGGCAAGGAGACACGGGGCCAGAGGTTGAGCTGATGCGCAGCGTATCGGACTGCAAACGGCCACAGAAAGTGGGGGGCAGCCGCATGAACCAAGGAGGTACGAGCGACCTCCATGACCAAGCCAATGCGGCGCTCAGCAACCCCATTCTGCTGTGGAGAGGCCGGAAGCGTGAACGACTGCTCAATGCCCTCCTGCTGACAGAAGGCCTCCAAGAGGCCAGAGGAAAACTCTCCACCTCTGTCAGAGTGCAGACGCAGGACAGGGAAGTCGGAGCGGAAACGCTCACTAAGCTGGAGACGAGATCTGCGGATCCAAGGGATCAAGACATCAGGGACGTCACCCTTGGTGCGCAAGGGGAAGACCGTGGTGTAGCGCGAGAAGTCGTCAACAACAATCAGGAAGTACCTCTCCTGACCCTGACCACGGACGCAGGCTGGGCCCCACACGTCCATGTGGAGTGTCTGCAAAGGAGCAGTCGTCGGGGGAAAGGAGGAGGAGTGAGGAGCGGCGCGCTGCCGCCCCTCGACACAGGGAAGACAGGGAGGAGCAGGTGAGTCGGAAAGGGGAGGGAGCACCCTGGGAAGACCAGCAACAAGGTCCCGTTTGTGCATGGCCCGAAGGCGCTGCACAGACGGGTGACCAAGGCGGTGGTGCCAAAGGACAGTCTCATGCGCCAGAGAGCGACACGAGCAGGGGGCGGACAGCTGACCTGACGCAGACGCAGACGTAGACGCAGACGCAGCTACCTGAGGGGACTAAGTGGTCAGTGTGTACAGGTCCGACCCCGGCTCTCGAGTGAAAGTAGCCAGGTGGCGACCCGTCCGAGCACACGTGCAGTGTGTCACGCGCTCGTAGGCAGGGGTGAACTGGTGAACACCCGCATCCTGGAGCGCACAACCCGCCACCAAGTTCGTAGAGAACGAGGGGAGGTAGAGACCTGACAGCGTGCCGGACGGGACCGCAGGACAAGGAAGGACAGTGGAGGAGGTCGCAATGACCGGACCCCCAGAGGGGTCAGCAAGGGAGACAGCAACTGGCCGAGCGAGTGGCTCAAGGACAGTGCGGTCACGAAAGAAAGAGCGAGAAGCACCTGAGTCCAGGGTGAAGGTGTGCAGTGCTGCAGTCGACTCAGTACCAGGGGGCACAGACGCACGAGCACCTAGGGCAGCAGCCTCACCATCACCTGGGGTAGCAGACACGCGAGCACCTGGAGCTGCAGACGCACTAGCACCTAGAGCAGTAGGCTCACCAGCACCTGGAGTAGCAGACACGCGAGTACCGGGAGTGGTAGCCTCACCTGCACCGAGGGCAACAGACGTACTGGCACCGAGAGCGGCTGCCTCACTCACAGAGCGACTACCACTACGGCCACCCCGACTGCTCAAACCTGCGTACCACTCACGAGCCTGCTGGAGCAGAAGAGGGCACGGCTGCTGCACCTGTCCACTACCTGAGGCTCCCGAACGACGGACGCCAGAGTGACTACCACTACGGCCACCCCGACTGCTCAAACCGGCGTACCACTCACGAGCCTGCTGGACCAGAAGAGGGCACGGCTGCTGCACCTGTCCACTACCAGGGGCTCCCGAACGACGCACGCCAGAGCGACTACCACGCCGGCCACCCCGACTGCCCAAACCGGCGTACCACTCACGAGCCTGCTGGAGCAGAAGAGGGCACGTCTGCTGCACCGGTCTACTACCAGAGGCTCCCGAACGACGCACTCCAGAGCGACTACCACTACGGCCACCCCGACTGCCCAAGCCGGCGTACCACTCACGAGCCTGCTGGAGCTGCATCTGGCCACGTCAGGAGCAGCAGCAGTAGCGGCAGCAACAGCAGGAGCAGTAAAGGCAGTAGCAGCAGCAGTAACGGTAGCAGTGCTAGCACGGCAAAGCTCACCAGTGGTTGGTGCGGCGGGCGCAAGACAGTGGCGACAGCGTGGCCGCTGCAACAGCGGGGCGGGGCCAGGTCGTAGCAGGGAGCTCCGCGGCAGCTGCTGCAGGGTCGGCGGCGGCCGCTGCTGTAGGCTCGGCGGCGGCAGCTGCTGCAGGTCGAGCGGCGGCTGCTGCTGCAGGGTCGGCGGCGGCCGCTGCTGTAGGCTCGGCGGCGGCTGCTGCTGCAGGGTCGGTGGCGGCTGCTGCTGCAGGCTCGGTGGCGGCAGCTGCTGCAGGTCGAGCGGCGGCTGCTGCTGCAAGCTCGGCGGCGGCAGCTGCTGCAGGTCGAGCGGCGGCTGCTGCTGCAGGCTCGGCGGCGGCAGCTGCTGCAGGTCGAGCGGCGGCTGCTGCTGCAGGCTCGGCGGCGGCAGCTGCTGCAGGTCGGCGGCGGCTGCTGCTGCAGGCTCGGCGGCGGCAGCTGCTGCAGGTCGGCGGCGGCTGCTGCTGCAGGTTCGGTAGCGGCAGCTGCTGCAGACGAAGTCGAAGCCGCGACGGGCGGCTAAGGGGCCGCGATGCGTGGGTAAGGAGCCGCGACGGCGGCTGAAAGGGCCGCCACGAGCGGGTAGGGAGGTGACGACGCCACGGGAAAGGCGACGCGGCGGGCGGCGAGAGCCTGCAGCGGCGGGCAGCTCGCGGGCAGTGCGCGGAGCCGCACAAGGCTGCGACGGGTCGCGTGACAAACCCTAAGCCGCGCGCGGGCGGCTAGCTGGTCGCGCGCACGAAGAATCGGCCGCGCGCGGGCGGCTAGCGAGGCGCGCGCGCGAAAAATCGGCCGCGCACGGGCGGCTAGCGAGTCGCGCGCGTTAAAAACGAGCCGCGCGCGGGTGGCTAGCGGGCTGCGTGCGCGCGGTAGGTAGAGGCGCACGAGGGCGCGCGGTAGGTAGAGGCGCACGAGGGCGCTAAGGCGCACGAGGGCGTGCGGTAGGTAGAGGCGCACAAGGGCGCTAAGGCGCACGAGGGCGCTCGGTAGTGAGAGGCGCACGAGGGCGCACGAGGGCGCACGGTAGGTAGGTAGGTAGGTAGGTAGCGGTGGGCCCTAGGAGCGGTCCTAGCAAAGGACCTGCTCTGATACCATGTCAGAATGAACAGGCAGGAATGAGGAACTAGAAAGGATGGTGAGTACAAATATGAAACCCTAATGTTGTGACCCCCCTACAGGCTAACCCACTACAGCCTACACAAACACAACATATATAATGTTTGACAGAATAGTGGGAAGGAGGTTTAGGGAGGGAGAACACTTCAGGGGAAAAATCAGGGAGTAACTGGAAGGGGAAAAGCGAGAGAGGAACATAAAATGAGATGATATACCATCAAAACTCACCCATGCCAACACACACCCATGCTCCGGTACCATTTCATAATGTGTCTCCCATTCCGGGTACATCAACAGACACCCATGCCAACACACACCCAAACACACAACCATGGCAGCACACACCCACGCCACACACCCACACCAACACACACCCATACACACACCCATGCCAACACATACCGTACCCATGCCAACAACACACACCCATGTCAACACATACCCATGCCAATACACACCCATGCCAACACACACCCATACCAATACACACCCATGCTAACACACACCCATGCCAATACACACCCATGCCAACACACACCCATGCCAATACACACCCATGCCAACACACACCCATGGCAATACACACAAATGCAAACACACACCGATGCCAACACACACCCATGCCAACACACACCCATGCCAACACATTCTGTACCCATGCCAACACACCAAATGGCAATACATAACCGGTCGTTATCTGCATTCCGATGGAGCCACAACATAACGTGGTTACTGCACTGCACTAAGTGAAAAATATCCAAGCCCAAATTCTTCCCCGACCATTCTCCAGTTTCTCCTCACCCTCTCCCCATGCAACCCTCCTTGCATCTCCCCTTTGGTTCCTCTCCCCTCAAGCCCCTATCCCACCCCACTCACTTCCTTGCACAGGGCTTATTTTTGTGCGTGGGGATGAAAGCAAAGAATGTATCTGAATCTTACGAAATTCTCACCTCCCTGTCACCATTCCTCATACCCATTATCACCTCTCATAGCATCCATCAACATCTTCTCGAACTCTCAGCCTCCCATGTTTTGTCATCTTGTCATGGTGTCCTTTCCCACTTCGTGAAGGCCTTGCACACCTTAACAACAGCATCCCCATTGTTTAGCAATGTGTGTGTATGATGGATGGCATGTGCTAACAGTGTGGTGCAGCAGCAATGTAGCCTGAGCCAGGCGAATTTAATCTGGGACCCAAAAATGCATACCATTTCCCTGGGGACATTCTGTCCCAAAATACCAAGGCTGAAAATAAAGTTCACTACCTAAATTAATCTAAACATTAAGCCTTATAACCGAGCCCTGAGTACACTGCATGCTGGTACACTAACGAATCAGGGAAATAACCCAATGAGGTGGAAAGCACCTTCAGCGCTGCAGCATGTAAAAGCCCATAGTATCAAGAAAATCGAGCATTGGGAGATCCCGTATGTCGTCAGGCAGAGCCTGGAGCTGCCTGCAGTTCCCAAGCTTGAGATTCTTCAGCCTGCTGAGCTGAGTAAAGCCTGCAGGGAGCAGCTGGATGCTGGTGCAGCTGAGGTTGAGCTCATGCAGGCACGAGAGCTGCGTGAGGGAAGCAGGGAGGAGCGTGAGGGAGAAGCAGTCGGATAGATTCAGCTTGTGCAGCCTTGACAATGCTCCAATGGCGTCCGGAATAGACGATAAGTTGTGCGCTTCTATTCGAATGGATGTGAGGTGGTGGAGAGCGGTGATGGCTGCAGGCAGCTCTGTGAATTCATCACGCCCAGTGTGGATGTTCAACTGCCGTAGCTCCTGCAATGCCGACCCGTCAAACCCCACCAGCTTCTTTATGCTACGGGCCCCGTGGAGTGTCAAGGTGCGGAGGCGAGATAGCCTTGTCAACGCGGACAGGGACTCCTTGGCATCATCTTCATCTCCCAACGCGAGCTCTAGGTGCTCCAGACCATTTAGGCGGCTGCTGATGGCCTCAAGGCAGGTTGCACTCACAGTGCCCAAACGCAGCTTCTTCAAATCTGTCAGTGTTGAAACGCCTGGCCAAGACACCAGCTGCTGGTTGCCATTGTAAGATAGTGCCCGGAGACTGAGTGGCAGAGACTGAGGGACTTCAGTCAGCAGTTCACATCTCCTCAGTTCCAATTGCTTCAGCCTGGTGAGATTGTCCAGCCTCTTGGGAACCGACGAGAGTTCGTCACACCCTTCAATCCTCGGCACTCGAAGGCTGACGAGCGCCGTCAAGAATTCCGAAAGCTCTTTCAAGGCCTGGCACTCCCGAATGCAAAGCTCCTGCAGGTTTGTCATCTCTGCCATGCCCGTAGGAAGCTCAACAAAGTCGCACTCATCCAGTTGCAACCTGGTCAGCGAAGCCAACTGCGTGAATGTGGACGGCAGCTTGTCTTGGCTGAATTGGGTGAGACAAAGGGTTTGCAGACTGGCCAGACCCCCTCCATGCAGCTCGCCCATCCCCTCGCACACCAGAAAAAACGCCTCCAGAGATGTGAGTCTGGTGAAGGACGCGGGGAGGCGGAGAAGCGGCAGCTCATGCAGCACTAAAGTCTTCAAGGCCGGAAGATTCCCAAAGTTTTCAGGCAATGAGGACAAGTCTCGCATGAGGAAATTGCCAAGCTCTCCAGGCAGGTGAGGGAGGTGAACTTTTCAGTTAAATCGCTTAGGTTTTTGCAATAACTGATGCTGAGATCTTAGAGGCTTGGAAATATCTCTCCTAGACTGTCCGGAAGCTGGGTTTGGCTATAGCAGTAAGAAAGCTGCAATCGTTTCAAGGCCATGTATGGAAAATTGGGAGAGGAAATATCGTTGAACTCACACTGTAGCTCGACTTTCAGTGACTTGAGAAAAGGCAGCCGTGCGAGTGAGAAGCTAGGTGTATCTTCGTTGGGCAAAAGGTCAATGTCAGGCAGATAAAGGCAGGTGAGGTTGGTAAGGTGAAGGATACTGAAAAGCTTGCTACTAGAAAGGCTAGAGGTTTCAAAGGAGAGTGCTGTGAGAGAGATAAGCGAACTGAAATTTGGAAAGGTTACGATAGAATCTTGATTCTTCAAGACGAGGATTCGCAACGGTAGCTGAAAGAGAGAAGCTGGTGGATCTACACAGTCCTGGAGCCAATACAGCGACAGCTGCTCCAGTTGACGGCACTTATGAGCGAGATGATCCAAGCCAGATCCGTCTATCAGGCGGGTGGCCTTCCTTCCATGACTTCCCTTGCCCGCAAATACCATCAGATCCCCCACGTGCAGTGCTCTCAGCCCCGGGCACGAAGCAGCGAGGTCAACAAGAAAAGTGTTGTCCAGCGCTTCAACACTTCGATCCGTGAGATGCAGATGAGTCAGATTGGAAAAGCACGCGACGGCGTTCAAGACATCCTGACGAGAAATGACGCGATCCTCCTTTATGAGCAATGACGAGACATGCCTCTGCGCGAGACGCCGCCAGCGACGGCAGATCGACGCGATGAGGAGGCATTGCACGGCATCTGCGGATGCTGGAGGGGTTGGCATCGGATTGTCTGTTTCCCACACTGTATATGTATTTGGGCTTGACTGGAAGGCATTCCAAAGAGCATCGCTCTCGGATGCATAATATTCTGATTGTCTAGAAGGCCAGAAGATGCTGACCAAGATGTCGTCAGAGAGATGGTGGATGTGGGTTCTACGAGACTCCATGTCAGCCTTGCAGAAGATAACAATCAGAAATTGAGGTGAAAGATCTACGTCGAGGGCGAGGAGATTGAGCCAGCAAATCACAGCTCGTAGCCTAAATCGCCGAATCGATCGACCTCGTCGTCCCTAATCGACAACTTCGTCCTGCTACGATTCTACGGCTTGCAATGAACGCCTGGAGCAGCACAAACGTGTCTGTGTCCTGCTAGGCTCGCTCAGCTATTTTTCAACACCCCGGGAATCAGGTCGCAGCTCCTATGAGGCCTACTAAACGTGACATGAGCATATTCTCGTGCTTCAAGCAGGGTGGACTAGAGGCTCACAAAGCAGAACTGCTTCCATATGGTATGGTCCTCTGCGAGGGCATTGCCTCTGCAATTGCCATTCAAGCCTTGGTTTGTTACAACTCATGCTTGGTGAGTTGGTGAGAAGTGGTTCAAAGCGGTGAAGATATAGAACCGTACCAGAGTACTCAAGCATCGATTTCAACCGTTTTTCCAGCAAATTTCTCGGACGTTGCGCCACACGTCAACGATTTTGGTTTGGTTTGGTTGGATCAGCACGAAGATGGAGGAGCAGGAGGTTTGGTTCTCTCGAGGGCACTGTACTGTACACCCCCAAAATTTCCTCCACGGCGAGAATCGGTAGGGTTGGGTTGAGAGGTCGGTAAGGCTTTTACGAAACCGCACAACGCATTTGTTACCAGAGTGCGAACTCTGACGATTCCCACCAAAACACAAGAACAAGCAGACTTACTTTATGCTTACGCAGGAGGGACACATCCGTGCGACACACCTTAGAACCGTCTTTAGTTTGCAAGCGACGCGAGATTCTTTAAGTGAGAGTGATAGGACGACAACATTTTATTTCTGATTGTCGAAGAAACTGTCATTGTCACTGATGGGCTTCCGTAGTGCCGCATCAGCTGCTCCGCCGCTAATACTAGTACCGCCACGAAGCCGATGGGGCGATTACTCTCGAGCAGCATGAACCGTCGTTGCCGCGCAACGATGCGACAGGCCGCGCACAGCATTTCGCAGGCAAAATCAGTAGAGATGTTCCGAATTTTAGAATTTTGCATCTCGAATCCCGTTCTTTTTTCCTCACACGCCCCTCTCCCCCTTTCAGCCATTCGTCCTCGAAGGTGCCGTTGAGTCAGCGCTGCTGCTGCCGCTGCCGATCATCCGGAAAATCACCACCCCAAAATGCTACGCAAAACATACTTTCGGGGTTGCTTTGGGGTTGCAGTTGGAAAGCTATCTCTGGGAATGCCGGGCAAGATGCTTTCTTAGGTTCGGAATGCACATCGCGCTGATTACACTCCCACGTTTCAGGAACCAACCGACTGCCACATGTTTTAGGTTTGGGGTTGATTGCCAGTGGGCCTCCAAGATTTGTGGAACACCATTTCGATTTGTAAATTTGTCCTGATTGGTTCATCTATTCAACTGCAAACCCGTCATTGCTGCTGCTTTAGCGAATCTTTCACTCGCGTTCATATGTTGGGTGCAGCGATTAGGATAGGTAATAGCCTGCTGTAGGGTAGAAAATATTTGTGATAGTGACGAGGTTGTTATAGGGAACGCACTATACATTTGATAAATACACTATTTTGCTATTTTGTGTTGCAGAAATCGGTTATTAATAAGGCTGTTACGCATTACACCTGAATAAATAAAATTGTGCTTTATATTAGATATCGTACTCGTTTCAGTAACCGGTATAATAGCGAATCCGAAATTCATTACATGCCAAAACTTCCACACAATTTGCTTTGTACATTAAATGAATTCTTGCAATCATACACTTTTGTTACATTCTCAACTACATGAAAAACTATGCACACATAGAAACAGTGAGATCTGTTTGTCAGAATTAGCAGCGAGAAAGTAGAAACACGAAAGAGAGGGTTTTCACTAGCAGGCAGTTGAGTACATATAGCAAACCCTAATTTGGGTTGTACTCGCTATAGAGTACCCTGTCAGATTATGTTATTTGTCTAGCCTGCAGTGGGGTGCTCAATAGTGAGTACAACCCCTTAGGGTTTCCTATATGTATCCTGCTGCTTGCTAGTTCAATCATCATTCCCATTCTCACTTCTCCAATTCTCCTTCGTATACCACAAACCCTAGTCCTAGGGCACAACCTACTACCTCCTAGTGTGGGCCTAGGCTACTAAGCCTAGGCCCCACTCCTATTGTTTCTGACATGGTATCTAGAGCGAGCACGTTCCTGCCGCTTACCTCTATGGGCCCACCACCTGCTTCCGCTGCCGTAGTGTCCGCCGCGCGCCCCGTGGTGCGCGGCGGCGAAACCCTAATTTTTCATCCCGCCGCGCCCTCGAAGCGTGCGGCGGTTTTCTGCCCGCCGTGCGCCCCGAGGCGCGCGGCGGTTTTCTGCCCGCCGTGCGCCCCGAGGCGCGCGGCGGCTTTCGTTCCCGTCGCCCGCGGCCCCCCGTTCCCGTCGCCCGCGGCCCCCCCGTTCCCGTCGCCCGCGGCCCCCCGTTCCCGTCGCCCGCGGCCCCCCGTTCCCGTCGCCCGCGGCCCCCCGTTCCCGTCGCCCGCGGCCCCCCGTTCCCGTCGCCCGCGGCCCCCCGTTCCCGTCGCCCGCGGCCCCCCCGTTCCCGTCGCCCGCGGCCCCCGTTTCGTCGCCCCGCGCCCCCCCTTTCGTCGCCCCGCGCGGACGCCAGCGCCACGGCCAGCCGCGAGCGCCAGCGCGGCCCGTACGGACTGCGCCAGGCCAGGGCGCGCCTCGAGCCGCTCGCCACTGCAGCAGCCGCCCCTGGAGCCGCCCGCCACTGCAGCAGCCGCCCCTGGAGTCGCCCGCCACAGCAGCAGCCGCCCCTGGAGCCGCTCGCCACTGCAGCAGCCGCCCCTGGAGTCGCCCGCCACAGCAGCAGCCGCCCCTGGAGCCGCCCGCCACTGCAGCAGCCGCCCCTGGAGCCGCCCGCCACTGCAGCAGCCGCCCCTGGAGTCGCCCGCCACAGCAGCAGCCGCCACTGGAGCCGCCCGCCACTGCAGCAGCCGCCCCTGGAGTCGCCCGCCACAGCAGCAGCCGCCCCTGGAGTCGCCCGCCACAGCAGCAGCCGCCCCTGGAGCCGCCCGCCACTGCAGCGGCCGCCCCTGGAGTCGCCCGCCACAGCAGCAGCCGCCCCTGGAGCCGCCCGCCACTGCAGCGGCCGCCCCTGGAGCCGCCCGCCACTGCAGCGGCCGCCCCTGGAGCCGCCCGCCACTGCAGCGGCCGCCCCTGGAGTCGCCCGCCACTGCAGCGGCCGCCCCTGGAGTCGCCCGCCACAGCAGCAGCCGCCACTGGAGCCGCCCGCCACTGCAGCAGCCGCCCCTGGAGTCGCCCGCCACAGCAGCAGCCGCCCCTGGAGCCGCCCGCCACTGCAGCAGCCTCCCCTGGAGTCGCCCGCCTCTGCAGCAGCCGCCTCTGGAGCAGCCGCCACTGGAGCCGCCGCCCCTGGTGCAGCCGCCCCTGGGCCCGCGACGCCGCCCCTGGAGCAGCCGCCCCTGCAGCAGCCGCCCCTGGCCCCTGGAGCAGCCGCCACTGCTGCAGCTGCCCCTGGACCCGAGCAGCCGCCCCTGCAGCAGCCGCCTCTGCAGCAGCCCACGACGCCGACCCTGCAGCTGCATGCGACGCCGCTCCTGGTCCCGGTGCAGCCGCCTCCTTTTCCTGTCACCCGCAGTCTTGTTCCTCTCGTTCTGTATGTGTCTTTTCTTGCCCACTCCGTGTACGTTCGTCTTGTTCGTGTATTTGTTCGTTTTGCCTGTGTTCGTTTGTTCTACCTACCTACCTACCTACCTGCGCCCTCGTGCCTTGTGCCTTGTGCCTTGTGCTTCGTGCCTCGTGCCTCGTGCCTCGTGCATCGTGCGCCCTGCTCCGCGCTATTGCTCTGCACGCGCGGTTGCCCGCGCCCTCGTGCGCTCTACC